GTATTCATACCAGTATGGATATACATATTAGAGAGAAAGGCCAACCGAAGAGGTGTGGATTATGTAGAGGTGAAGGGCATTCAAAAGAAATTGTCCAAACCTTCCACAGTATAGACCTCAGCAGTAATCTTATTATTTTATAAATTTTTATATTATATGCGATTCAATTACTCGAGTACATATTTAATAATTATTATTTAAATTTAATTATTTAACTTTAATGATTTAATAATAATTAATTAACTTTAATGATTTAATAATAATTACTTTAATGATTTAACTTTAATGATTTAATAATAATTACTTTAATGATTTAATTTTAGTGATTTAATAATAATTACTTTAATGATTTAATTTTAATGATTTAATGATTTAACTTTAATGATTTAATGATTTAACTTTAATGATTTATAATAATTACTTTATGATTTAATGATTTATGATTTAATAATAATTACTTTAATGATTTAATTTTAATAATTTAATAATAATTACTTAATTTTAATGATTTAATTTTAATGATTAATAATACTTACTTGACTTTAATGATTTATATTTACTGATATAATAGTAATATATTCGATTCATTACTTTAATTTGATACAAATAATTAAAATAAGGATTACAACTCTTGTCGGTGTCGGGGTGTTGTTGAGTAATAATGTCGAGGCCCACGTCGGTTTCGTTGTTGTCGTTGCACTTATTCAGGAGTTTGTTCAGCATAACCAACCTGCTCATTCATCGAGGGCATAGGATCTGGTGTTGTAAATACATGCCCACCACCACTATGCTCTCCCATCTGAGGACAAACACTCGTACTTGTGATCATAGATGTCATCTGATCAAAATCATTTGTTGCCCCAAACATAGGAGGGAACATGAGTGATTGATGAGGAACATGCTGAGGAGTGTAGGGCGTAACACCAGAATCACCAACCATTTGACTAAATGATCTTGTGTGATCAAAAGATTCTGGTGGGATATTATCCATTGTCTCTTGTTCTGCTCCACGGTGAGAAGAACTCCCACTCCCACTCCCACTCCCACTCCCACTCCCAGTCCTTCTTGGTTTCTCGGGTTTACCGAATTTTTTGGTATACTCTATAAATTGTCGCCTTTCTCTGATCGTTGTCAAGAACGACTTTCCACGTTCCCAAAAATAATTCAGGTAATCCGAACTCTTGAAGTCAAAGTCATCTGGTTGTATGGGAGTGAGCGTTGGCAAGTATGAACCCCTGTTGTTCCAATGATTGATATGGTTAGCATGCCTCACCGACCAATCCTCATCGACCCTACCCCGCCCATCTAATCGATGGAGAGCATCATGATTCTCTGGAATGACTGGAATATGTTGGTGGAAGCCGAACTGCCTCAACACTCTATCGGCAAATTGGAACTCCATAAACATGAATGGATCAATGGTGTAACAGCACACCAATATTCACAACCCTCCCAGACATGTTGCGGTACGCACGACATAATTTCTTGATCATGGTACGGCCTCCAAATAAACTATAAAATAAAATTATATAGTTATTATTTAATTAAATAATTATAAAAATCAACAAATTAATAAATAACAATATTATAATATAACATAATAAAAATAAATTCACTTATTAATTTATATATACCTCAACTTTGCATTTGATGTCAATCTTAAACCTAACTCTTTCACGTTGTTGTGCGCCAACCCCGTTCTTTCTATTTATGCCTCCATCTGTATACCAATCAAAATAAAATTTTGTAATTATTTTTCATTTACAAAATATTCTTTATTAATTAAAGATAAAATTTTAAATCAATAAAATTACCTTCCGGCAAGAGGAAAGTTAACTGCAGTTCGGCTAATCGGTGTTAACCATGGAATTCTGTACCACGCCCACGATTGTAATAACTCGTGCATCCACCGATTTCAGTCGTGTACGCATCATTAACATTAATGATGCCTTGCACATCTCGCGATACAAGAATGCCAATATTGCTGATCCCCAACTATACTGACGGGTCATAAAGAAGTTCTCCAAAAACGGAAGATATTGTATATGGACAAGATTACTGGATTTATCTGGCATCAAGATTCCGCCGATCAAACGTAATATATATGCTCGAGTTGCATATATAATGTCTCGCTCACTACATTGTGGATCGAGCTTAAACTCATTTGCCACCAGGATAATCTCAGCCGTGACCCTTTTGCTACATCTTTGTCTGGTACCTTCCCAAGGTAACGCTCACATATTGCAAACATGTCAAGATCTGTATTTCCAACCACTGCCATTCCATTTGTAGGAACCCCTAGTTGTAAAGCCACATCCTCCAAAGTGATCGTACATTCACCACATGGAAGATGAAAAGTATAGTTTCTGGTCTCCACCTTTCAATTAATGCACTTATCAAACCGGGGATCAACCGAAATTCTCTTACAAAAGCAACATCATAAAAACCCACTGTTTTCAATTATCAACAATACGTTGATCTGGCATCTCACAGTTGATAAGTCGAGGACGAATGACTCGTTGTTCGTCATCCTGCAATTTATTAGTCATTGTAATTAGAATTAATACACCGTTCTCAAATAAAAAAATAAGTCGATCATATTACCAGTTCTCCCAAATTACTCGAAATGTGTCGACCATCTAGCCTCAAAAGAACATTTTCTTCGGCCATGTTTCAACAAATCTAGACAAAAAATAAATAAATATTACACTCAATTATTACATTGTTTTGTTCAAATAATCAATTGCATGTTATCTACTTTAATAAAAAATAAACATCAAATATAAAATGATCCCTAACTATTTGCTTCTCAACATTTTCAAACTTTGCAATTTAATCACTAAATTTATAAATTCTTTCAAATTTAACCAATTAAGCATATTAATACTAATTCAAGCATAGTATACCAACTTTTTATAATTTACTCTAATTTCTTAAATTCCTCAAATTTTGCAAAACGATCCCTAATTACTATTTGGTTCTCAACATTTTCAAAGTTAGCAATTTAATCCATAAATTTTAAATTCTTTCTAATTTAACCAATTAAGCATACTAATACTAAATTCCAGCATAGTATAGCAACTTTTAATAATTTACTCTTATTCCTTAAATTTTACAAAACGGTCCCTAAAACTTTACAATGTTCCAAAATGGTCCCAACCTTATTTCAAATTATGTAACAACATATAAATTATTATTTCAGAGTGTAACAACATATAATCACAAAATTAATAAACTTATGAAACTAAAATTATGAGATCAATATGAAACCCTAAACCTTTAAAACAAGAATCAAATGAGATCTAGGGCTTGAGTTTAAATTACCTCAGGCTATGCTTTGTGATCTTACTGCTGATCAATCTTCCTCTCAAGCTCTCACTGCTTCTGTAATTGTGAATTGCCTCAGCCCCAAACTCTCACATTGCCTCAGCCCGAGCATTCTCTTATAAGTCGATCATATTACCATGCATTATTGGATTTATTTGTTAAGAAGACGCTGAGCTATCCAGCCTTCCATGCAAAGACGCCGAGAAATCCTTACCTAAATGTAAAGAAGACGCCGAGAAATCCAACAGTTGCATGCCCCCCACATGCAGACGTGCAGGACCCCCACATGCAGACGTGCAGCCCTGCAGGACCCGTGCTCTCCCACATGCAGACGTGCAGCCCTGCAGGACCCGTGCTCTCTCCTTGCAGAACCCGTGATTTCTCACGTCCAGTCCCATGCACAGCACTGAAGACGCCGAGATTTCCTACGAAGAATCCAACTGAAGACGCCGAGAGATCAATCATACATGCACAGCTCCCACGCTTCCACATCTGCTGAAGACGCCGGGATATCCAAGTTGAAGACGACGACAGCTCCATCTAAAGACGCCGAGCTTTCCATATTTCCTATAACAATCACCCCATTTGGGGAAATAATAATTAAAGTGCATTATTTGGGGAATTAAACCTCCCCGTATGCATTATTCCGGCAAAATAGCCAGAAGAGTTTAGTATTTTTTTCCGATCAAAGAAACAACTGAGCAATGCAAAAATGACGAAGAAAGGAGGCGATAGTCCAAACAAAAATTAAAAGCTAAAAATTGTATTTGTCATTGTTAATCATTGGATCGACTTGAAATAAGATATATTAGTCTTATTGTCAAATAAAATCTTTCTAACGTTGGGATTGACAGACAATCGCTCTATTTAAAGAAAACTCAACCTTTGCAACAGTTGACAATTTAAAAAATAGAATTTTATTTGGAGAAGACCATCTTAACATTTTTAATAGTAACTAATGATAACGAGTGTAATGAAATCAATTTGATAAAGTTTAGTCATCATAGTAAATCACCTAGTAGTAACTTTATTAGAATTTCGTAGTCAGACCGCCAATCTAAATTAAATACTGTAACTATGGAGCTGATTTTTGGAATGACATTAATAAATTCATCTCATCATTTTGTATCATTTCACCTATTTAAATTTTTTCAAAATCTTTTTGACAATGATAAATTTTCAACCCAAAATCTAATAAAAATGATTTTGATCTACCATCTTCATCATACAACCAAGATATATTGTTTATTTTCTCTTTTACCTCCCTACTATTAAGAGTTGAAATAAGATGTTCTAATGTCAATATATATATATATTAAAACTTTGCAAATATTTTTTTTAAAAACCACAAAATTAGAAAAACTTTTTGGGACTTTTCATAATCTTTTTTAAAAATGTTCCATTATAACATGGTTAAAAAATTGATAAAGCTAATTAAAACCCAAGCTCGAAAATTTTGAAAGTTGGGTAACTAAAACAAAAATACAAACAAAGTTGAGTGTTGAAAAAGTAATTTACCCAAAATGAAAATTTGCATGTTAAACTGATCAGACCATCCACATTTTGAAGTTGATATGGAATTTGTTCATATCGTTTGTTCCCTCATAATTGGCTTATGAAGTTCTGTTTAGCCTATTGGCATTTGTACACAAGTCCAACATTTTAAGTTATGCGAAGCTCCATAACTGCAAGTTCATATGCTTCAAATTCCCAACTCACTGGATCTTTACAGCTTTGAAGTCATATGGCAAAATGAGTAATTTTGGTGGACAATGTCCAACCTAAAATTTCCAGGTAGCCTCTTATGGAATCCCGAGTTCTCGATGTTTCTGTGACACGAAATGTACAGAGTTGCTAAAAGACATTTGTACAATTCTAATACCAGACAGAAAAACCTATTGCTTCAATGTCTTCCACTGTAAGTCAATGAAACTTATCACATCATTTGCTAACTATATTAGCTAACCTATCAAAAGTTCATGCATTTCGGCATGCAAGGCATGGCACTATCACAAGGAAAAGATTGAAGTCCTTATTTTGTGTGATGGCACACAGATGACTTCAACCCCAAATCTAATGGTCATGCATTGGACAAGGTGCCTTCCCCAATGCAGGCAATGAGCTTCTCCATTCCAACCGAAATCATCCGATGCCAAACCAATCTGCAATCGCAAGTATAAATTAACACGGAGTTTCACTATTTTTTTTTGTTTTTGATAGAATGACATCCGCTATAGTATCACATTCTAATGATTCTTATGCCATATCCAGACTTTCAAATTTTCGACTCGCATTATTTTTGGACTTAAAAAGCAATCAGAAATGTTGGGTCACCATTTAAGGTCATTTGAGAGTAACAGATAAACTGTCAGAATTGAGACTTCATGCTTATCACCGCTAAGCGACTAACAATGGAAAAGCCATTTACCATAATGTTATGCAGAATTCATAGTCTCTCTCTCTTCCAACCATCCAATATTATCGATCAACTCGGAGAACGTTGTTACGTATTATTCCATTGCTTGTTGTCTCTCTCAGGATCAAGTTTCCATTCACCATCGACAATGAATTTTATCTGCAATTAAACAAGATAATGGAATGGAAGCAATGAGTAATGGCAGATTCATTCCTTTAATCACATCAAGACACTAAATGATATTTAACGACAACATTAGATCCAAAAATCATGTACATTTAATATCAGTCACAATGGATCATCTGTTTTCAATCAGAAAATGAAAAGGAAGAACTTATGGATTCCTTAAGATATAAAGTAAGCTAGTCGACCCCTAACATAAATATTACCTTCATTCTACACAATTTTCAAAAACAGTGTTCTGAACTTTAAGATTTTAATGGATTCCTTAAGCAAGCATTAAAGAAGTATTCTAATAATAAAATACACTTTTGGTCCTAAACCAAAGAGCCCTTTGACTAATTGATCACAATTAGCGTGGAGGCTGATGCCCTTCATATGATGACTTGTAGTGTAGTTTTGGATCAAAGAATTTTATTTAATTACCAAAAAAAACAAAATGAACAAAATAATTTTCACCTTTGCTTTATAGTTAGTTTTGAATAGCATGCTATTCAGTTGGTTATGGTTTCTGAAAGCCAAATAGTGTGGTCTGGTTTCAAAAGTCCTAAAAAAAGCTCATTTTTGTAGCAATAGACATCGAATTTCTCTTATCATTATAAAATACAAAATAGCACTTCTAGGAATATCTCTAGGAGTCTATGCATAAAATAAGCACGCAGCCCTTCAAAGTGAATTGAAAACCAAATGGTTTCAATATTTAACATCAAAATGCATAGAATTAAGCACATTAATGTGTCATCGGCAGATGTAGCAATGAAGTTGTTTTGTTATTTGGTAGAAGTTCATAATACCTCATATACCCCGGGATAAAGCCATAGCACTGTTGACCAGATTTTGAATTTACTGGAACGTGTATAAACATGACATATATAAGCAGAATTACAAAAATCAAGAGAAAAAAGATAGCATACAGAACCGACAAAAAGAGGTACTTCAAGTCCAATGAAACATCATTTGCTAGTATTTTTCAAATTTCCTTATCTATATGCACAGCATTTAGAAAATTCTCGTGGATAGAATCAATTTTGTAGTCCTACCATTAGTAAACGTTACTGGTGGGTGAAATGTAACAAGTTGAGTACTGTATGCTAATAATAACAATAATGTGATCACACAGAAGATATAATTAAATCTAAAGACCAATACTCTAGCAGAAAATTTATTTGATGAAAGAGAACATTTAACACCTTGACTTGATGGGGTTTTCGATGGTAGAAGATGGCTTATGATCCATTTTAATCCGATGATGCCAACCATTGAAGCTACCAGATACCTCCACAATTTCACCATCTCCAGAATATTCTAGTTGCACCTATTATAGCAGTTCAAAATTCAGTTTCATTTGTTTTGATATTTGCTTGAAAAAACAACAATAACAATAAGCAGGAAAATTATGCGGGAGATCTACTGTAAAGGATATCAGAATCTTGTTCCTGGAATTATATTAGTAAGAGATAATTATTAAGCTCATTAAAAATATACTATGTTACTTGGACTCCTCATTTTTATTAAAGTACTGGTGTCCGACACTCGTGTCAAACACATAGATGCATGACTATGACCTCCAATGACCATCCAAATATATGGAAAAACTTAGAGAAGTCTTATCATACCCATGTCAGATACATACGGGCATACCGCAATCACATCCGAGCCCGAATAACATAGAAAAAACATTAAAAAGTAGAGGAAAAACAAAAACAAACAAAAGCCAAGCAAGAGTAGCAAGACTGTTATAAAATGTACCTCTTGTAGGCCTGATAGGCTTTCCTCAGCAGCTTGCAATTCAGCATCTTTCTCAGAGACAAGTTTTTGAGCTTTCTGGATTTCCATTTCAGCCTTGGTTTTCAGGGAAGACAAAGCCATCTGGAGAAAAGAGTGATAAGAAAAATATACCGTTAAGAACCTAAATAGATGCATAGCATTTCAATATAAGCTTAAAAGACTATATATACAGACACCGAAGTTATTAAATAAGCTCAAACAATGCTCCCTGATATTGTGCAAGAACCACACAAAATGCTCTATAAGAAAAGAATCAGGCAAGAAAATAGCAAAATGTACCTTTTCTTTTTCAATCCGCTCCTTCAAATGGGACAATTCTAATTCCTTTTGGTGCTATTCACACAAAGAGAAGCAATAAAGATGCAAAATGGTTCATTTATGTAAAAAAAAAAAAAAAAAAACTTTACATACCGACAAAACTATAAAAATAGTTAGTAGTGATAGATATTATACGTTAAAACTATATACCAGCATAAACTTGAGATGGTTAATCTCAATTAGATCGTCCCTTCCAATCGTCTGCAACAAAGAGGAGCATACAATAAGATATATGTGTGAAAATAAACACTGAATTTCAACCAAATTAGAACTGGAAACAACTTCAGAATCCAAACCCTCCCTGTCTTTTAGTGTTTGAGCTTCCCTATTATCATAAATGCAAAATAATTATCAGAAGGCTTAAGCCAATCAAAACAAAAGAAATTGAGTAAACAAATTATTTTACTCGAATTGAATGAAGGTGCAATATCCATGTTTATTATCCATGTCTCGGCAGCTTCAACAGTAAGTTTAACTATGTTAGTTGGACCCGAATGGAAGTGTTTTCCAAGAATTTCATGTATTTGGAGGGTCCTTAGAGGATTGTAAAACACAGGTATTTCAAGAAAAATGAAGATCCAGAGCAACATAAAAGTTTAATGCAACTAACTAAACCACTCACTGTTAACAAATTATAGCAAGGAAAGTTGAGTATTCCAAATAATCATAGACTTTAAGCAGAAAGTAATTCTGAGTTGTAGATCTAGTACTTTAAACTGTTTGAACACTGAGCTAACCTCCAAGGTATGTAATCCATTGCTACTGGAGGAGCAACCTGCTTGGCAACTGTTGCACTTCCATTCGATGTGATGGGAGCATCATAGGCATGTCCTGAGCGTTCTTCAATTCTATTCATAGATCAAGTAGCTACTTCATTATTAGTTCCGACAACTTCCTTGCTTTCTTTCTCACCACTTCCATTTAATATCTCGTAAACATCATCTGCATAGCCAGCAACAGTAGATACTTGAATTCATGTTTCGAACCCACCGGATAAATAAAGGGGAAATCTTTTGAAGTTTGAAACAGACACAGGGACCATCTAAGTTAGCTAATTGAGGAAATACTAACAACTCCAATTTGTGTTTCAGATGTCCATACCAAAAGCAGAAACCATCCTCATGAAATGGAACACAGCAATGGTTAACAAGACGATGTGACAAACTAGTGTATCTACAGAAACTTACACTCGATGGCATCCAAATCTCCATTCTGAACAAAATTTGCAACTTTTTCCTCCAAAGTTGACACGGCTGCAGGTTCTTCAGGTATCAAAATACTAGTATCAGAATTATGACCCAGATTAACGTTCAAACTCCTAGAATAATTTTCGTCAACTGGGAAAAAAGATGTTGACGAAACATCTTCAACCATAGCGCCTTCCATTTCATTTTGATCTCCCAAAGTGGGCACTGTAGGTTCCTTCGTGTAATTATGGTCGGCAGAATCAACACCCTCTCCAACTAAACTATTTCCCATGTTGAAAACTTCAGTTGGCAAGAAGACATCTTCGATTGCATTCTCACTCTTTTCATATTGACCTTTAAAAGTATCTTCTGAATCACCAGTGGCATCATGCTTTTGAGCTACACTTTTCTCTGCAAAAAATCCATTGCTGTCTGTTTTAGGTGAGTTCGAAAGAAGCTGTTTGATAGGCTTGTATCCTCTTCGTTTAAGAATGTTAGCCAGATCATTCCTACAATAGAACAATTGAGCAACAAGTGAAACAAATTTCCTTTTCTCCCACCTCACTCCTCCCTTTTCTCTCTTTTGTCATCAGTATATAATTTGACATCAGAATAAGTAAAATTGAATAACATAATCATATTAACCTAAGACCCTGGTAGATTCCATAATCTCAATCATTAGTAGTTTAGCAACACGTATATCTCCAAAATCAAAACTTGGTTTCAATCAAGGCCAAAAGGTTAAACTTTTCATACAAAACCACAATTTCCCTACCAATTCAAACAACAAATCTAAATTTGGACTCTACCAAGGCCAAAAGATTAAATTTTTTCATACAACCCACAATTTCCCTAACATTTCAAATAACCCATTTTCAATTTAACGAAAATTAACCAGTAAAAAAAGGAACAAAAATTATGAACTTTAACTGTAAAAATACCTTCCATGCTGAGAAAGCTCTTTCAAGGAGGGAACATGACCATCCGGAAGCCCAACCGCAGCTACAAATTCCCTTATATCAGTACACAGTTCCTCCTTGCTCTTTACCTTTCTCCCACTCCTAAAACAATAAACAAATAACAACACCAATGATTAAAAAGAAAAAAACAGAGAAAATGAACTATTAATAAAAAAAGAGTATTTTATACAAAAAGTTCAAACCTGGGTCTTTTAGTAGAAAAAACACATATCTTTAAGCTTCTTCTAGGTTTGTATTCATGGGTTATCCAGCTCCGCCATTGTTGTGCCTTCGATGCGAAGATGGGTTTATGAGAAGAAAGGGACAGGAAAGTTGGGAATTGAAACAAAGTTGTCATTGTGGGTAAAACCTCGTTGCAGCATTGAAGTCTTAATTATACTTCTTTAATGCTTTCATGTCGGACGAAGGAATCATAGAGTTGAGAGTGTACAGGTTCATATATAATAATTATATATACGAGTGAAGTTGAAATTGCAGGTTTGAGACTCCGTTGAGAATATGCTGAATACAGGGAGGTGGTTTGCTGGTGTTTAGAGGATTTTCCATTTTGGGGTTTAAAATTAGCATACGGGAGATTTTTAACTGTCAATTCAATCTTGCGATGATTGAGATGAAATCTCAGCAAACAGAAATCTCTGATATTTTTTTTGTTCCAGTTAAATGTTTAGTTTAGATATCAGGGTGTTCATCCCTTTACTCTAATTTAACATAATTTAGTTCTTTCATTTTATTATGTTATTAATATGTCAAAATCGATAGCATTATAAATGGACGAGTTCAAAATGAGTTATCTTTAAATTCAGATTCTTTCTTGTTTATACTAGTTTCGTTTATTTTAAATTATATTTTTTTAGTAAAAAAAATATTGAAAAATTTCTGTGAATTACTCGGGATTGTCTCCGGAAAGGCGGGCTAATATACGATTAATATACGGCGTTACCAGATACATTATAATATATTTACAATATTCGGTTTATCGCTACCGGAAATATTGAGTAATAATAATGTAATAGGTATAAATCATGAAGAAATATTAAAAAATTTGGCAACCGGTAAACTTAGCTTAACGGTTTGTATCGATACAAATGAAAAATGGATCGCTCCATAGCAATATTACAGGTACAAATATGACAAAACCGGTCCCAAAATGACAAAACCGGTAAAACGCTACCCGATATATTGAAAGTGTCGATAATTTAATATAAGTATCGAAACTTTCTGAATTTAAAAGAGAAGAAGTTATAGCACCTATAAAGTGTCGATACTTTAAAAAAATATATCAATCCACAACAATATAACAGGTAAAAATATGATAAAACATGTCTCAAAATTGACAAAACCGGTAAAACGATACCAGATATATTGAAAGTGTCGATAATTTAATATTAGTATCGACACTTTCTGAATTTAAAAGAGAAGAAGTTATAGCGCCTAAAAAGTGTCGACACTTTATTAAAATGTATCGATCCTTACTAATATAACAGGTAAAAATATGATAAAATAGGTCTCAAAAATGACAAAACCGGAAAAAGTTACCGGATATGTTAAAACTGTCGATAATTTAATATAAGTATCGACACTTTCTGAATTTAAAAGAGAAAAAGTTATTGCGCTTATAAAGTGTCGACACTTTATGAAAATGTATCGATCTATAACAATATAACAGGTACAAATATGATAAAACATGTCACAAAATTGACAAAACCAGTAAAATGATACCGGATATATTGAAAGTGTCGATAATTTAATATAAGTATTGAAACTTTCTGAATTTAAAAGAGAAGAAGTTATAGGGCCTATAAAGTGTCGATACTTTAAAAAAATATATCGATCCACAACAATATAACAGGTAAAAATATGATAAAACCGGTCTCAAAAATGACAAAACCGGAAAAAGTTACCGGATATATTGAAAGTGTCGATAATTTAATATTAGTATCGACACTTTCTGAATTTAAAAGATAAGAAGTTATAGCGCCTAAAAAGTGTCGACACTTTATGAAAATGTATCGATCCTTACCGATATAACAGGTAAAAATATGATAAAACAAGTCTAAAAAATGACAAAACCGGAAAAAGTTACCGGATATGTTAAAAGTATCGATAATTTAATATAAGTATCGATACTTTTTTAATTTAAAAGAGAAGAAGTTATAGCGCTTAAAAAGTGTCAATACTTTATGAAAATGTATCGATCCAAAAAATATAACAGATAAAAATATGATAAAACCAGTCTCAAAATGACAAAACTGGTAAATAGATACCGGATATGTTGAAAGTGTCGATACTTTAATAAGTACATGTAATAAATTATTGATACTTTCAAAGAAATATGTAAATATCCTATCGAAAGTATCGACACTTGACATAAAAGTATCGACACTTATGTAGTTGTATCGATTAAATATAAATAACATATTCGGTGTAAATATAAAGGCATTGTTATCCTCTGAAAATATATAGAGTTTTTGAAATCGAAGCGTAATTGTTGTTGCATTTCAGAAGGCGTTTCTACGTGAAGTTTTGTTTGTTTGTTGCTGCAGTCGAATCGAAAGGTACGCTGTTGAAACCCTAGTTTTTTATTATTACAGTAATGGAAAATAAGGTTTTTATGTGTTGTTGTTTGGGGGGTTTTCGAAGTAAAGAAGCATTTGAGACCGAATCGATACTTTTAGTTAATATTTATAGGTAAAAATGATATTATATGTAGAAAATGATATTTTAGGTTGTATAAATGTGCCGACACTTGTTGTAGTGGCCATTTAAATTCTTTTGAAGACCAACCGTTTTACCACAAAGAGTGGTTATTGATTTTTGTATATTGAATAAAGTGTATGTAAGCAGTATTTGATTTGATTTGATTTGCGCAAACTGATATATGAAGGAAAAATGAAGTCAATGAGAGGAAAGCAACCAAAGGGTGGATATATGTACTTCTAGTAAGTATCAGTCTTTTTGTTATTATTGTTGAAATGGTAATTGGATTAAAACTTTAATTTGATTACAAATTGTAAATGTTGACAGTATGGCCGAATGCAAAAGGATGAAGGAAGATGGCACACACGACGGTTCGATATGTAAAATGAAATTGACATTGAGTATTATTTAGCGTTAATGTATTGATTAAAAAACATTTACGCTTAATATTAGGTGACAAAAGATGTGAGGTCGATATGGAATTCGATGAGTGATGCCGAAAAAGAACCTTACATCACACAGTCAAGGAATGATAGTAAAGAATACAAAGAACATATGAAAGCACATGAAAAGAAGGTATTCATTAAACTTGTAAATACGTTGATACAAGATATATAAGAACAATAACATTATATATTGTTAAAAAATGTAGGAAGTGTCGACAAGGTGCAACATAAAAAGGGTGAATTCATTAATTGAACACCTTAAAGAGAAGGATCAGTTGAATGTGCTGAGGGAAATGGGGTTTGGATCATTGATAGGAGTAGGGGATCGACCAATTCGGAGGGAATTGTGTCGATCCTTGATGGAGCAATTTGATGTCAAATAATATATTGCTAAATATGGTGATTATTCATTCAGTCTGGGGGTATCGACTGCTGCAGCCGTCTTGGGGGTACAAAACAAAGGCAAAAGTGTTGTAGAAGTTTGTAGGAGTAAGAAATGGAAAGCACTTGCCTCCAAATTTGGTTTGAATCAGAAGATGACATATGCTGAAGTTGAAGAGGTTATCAAAAGTGGATCTTACGGGGGGATGAGCTGAAGGCCCGAGTTCTATTGTACCTTGTCGGGATATTTCTTTATCCAATGGGTGATACGTCAACGAACAAGGAATATATGAAGCTCATTTGCGATGAAGGCTTGAACGGTGAATTCAATTGGGCTGAATATGTCCATTCGAGATTGATTGAATCAATAATCACCTTTCAAAAGGGCAGCCAGAGATACCTCAAAGGGTGTATAGCAATCTTAGAGGTAACTGAGTTAAAGAATGTTTTTGTTTTTTATATAAAATGATAGTATAGTTATTATATAAAATGATAACTTTTATTATAAATGCAGGTTGCACTGTTTGATTTTTGGTCGGGCTGTGATAGTTTGCCGGCTTATGAAAGAAACGGAGTGGCACGCATCCGTG